TCTCCCCTCACTTACTGTGATTCACTGTGCCGGAGCAGGGACGAGGCAGCGGTGCGCTGGTCCAGTGGGAGGAGCTCCAGGTGGGGTCCTAATTTAGCTGACTTAGAGGTGCCTGCCCGATAATTACAACCCCACCTGGAGCTCCTCTCGTCTGACCAGCGCGCCGCTGACACATCCCTGCTTCCCTGCTGTACTGGCGCTGCAGGATTTTTTTTCTTTTCTTCTTACTTACCTCGCCGAGCGTCGCGTCACTGCTGCTCCGGTGGGCGGCGCTCCGAGCGGGGTCATCTGGCAGTCTCCGGCCACCTAAATTAGGACCCGGAGACTGCCAAACTGCCAAGACTTTTGGAAAGTCTCTATTTATTGCTATGCCATTGGGTGTATGTCTGTTAACAGGTTTTTATTTAAAGTTGTTCAATAAATTATCAATAGAAAAAAAATGAAATCTTACAGGTTCGGTGACGGAGTAGATTGGGGGGTGAAGGGGTTTGAGGGGGTAATGGGAAGCCAGTGGTCCCAGTAGGTCTCTCGTGGTAATAAGAACCCTGCAGGGCAGTTAGTTTAAAAGAAAAGATCCGTCAAATCCTTTTTTAAACTCCCTAAAGGGTATTAAGCTCGTCTTTCATGCTTTCACAATGCGAGCAGCTGTGAAGATGTAGTTTACCAAGTTACTGGTATCTGAATACCCCTAGTATTAGTGCACAAAGACTGCCTGCCAAAGCGCTCGGCCTCTGGAACGCAAGGTGGCTGGCTCCCTGCGTTCAGAGGCGGTAGGGGGCGTGGTGGTGCATTGAAGTGAATGGCAACCCAGCCACTCCCCCGGCCGCGGTGCGATCGCTGGCACCCAAACGTCTGTCAGATCAGTGCCTGCTTTCCGGTCCAGAGCAATCTGCAAAAATAGTGCTGGCCACATTTTGGCAGATCGCACTGTACTGGAACGCAGGCACGAATGTTGGGTGCCGGCGATTGCACTGCGGGCGTGGCTGCAGTGCCACTGGCTTCAATACACCGCCATGCCCCCTCCTGCCCCTGAACGCAGGGAGCCAGCTGGCTTGCTTTCCAGAGGTGGAATTCTCTGAAACACAGTCTTTGTGGTGTGAACCGCCCCTTAAAGATGAAAGAATAATTGCAAATTAATGAGACGGATGTGCTTTTTTGCTTTTACACAAAGAATCAAATCTTGGCAGAATATGAGATACTGCAGGGCATAGAGCATCTTCCATGTTTTTAAGAGTTGACCGATATTTTGACTTTATAACGGTCAATGCTTCACATAAGTATGTAGTACAAAATGGCAAAAGCATGTTTAGGGCCATATCAGAAATGTTTGGAAATTCTGTCCTAATTCCAAGCCAAAATCCAGTTAATGATTTTTTTGGAAACTCAAGTTTCACTTGATAACTCAGCAAATTCTTCTTGAACTGCTAATGGTAGATGACTGACTTTTTTATTTCAATTGAGTATGGTTTATGAACCCAACTGACTTTTTCATACTCAAACTTTGAAGAGAAGTATTTCTGAAACTGTGTCTCCAGGCACTTCAGATGGTCAATTATAACAACTACAATTAAATCTTTGGGAAGGTTATTTTCAGTTATAAAATCATCTGTAGCTGTAAACATTTCTAAAGAACCATTTTTCACCCTATTCCTCCATATGTTAACTTAGTAAAACTTTAAATTTTATCTTTAAAGATAAATATGTTACAATTTTTTCCTTGAAGCGATATGTTTAAATCATTGAGTTTTTTGAAAATATCCGACAAATAACACAGTTTCGAAAGCCATAAGTCATTATGAAAAAAATTAACAAAATCGGAATTCTGCTCAGTCAAAAAGATAACAACCTCATCTTTCAATTTTAATATTCTGTTTAACCACTTCAAGACCAGGTGTTTAGACCCCCTTCCTGGCCAAGGGGGCGTGTCTGAGCGGACGGGAAAACTGACTTTTTCCCATGAACGATTTCAGACATTTTAATAGCAGCAGGTAAGACAGCAGGTAAGACAAGATCTTCTCCTATTGTGTAGGGCTTTTTACTTTTAGCAATTAAAAAAGAAGTTTCAAAAGATGCAAGTAAATACTTTTCCAAGTAAATACTTTTCGTTAACAGTAACAAATTTTTCTAAGCATTGTTTTTCTTTTATTGAAAATTTTAAAAGTCTTTAAAAATATTCCTTCGGTTTATTGCAGTACGCTGCATGCTTTGTATTAAGATGCCTTTTTTATTTTGGCTGGTTTCATGCTCTCCGCAGCCAAAACATCTTTACAAATTAAGCAAAGAGGCTTTTCCACACCATCATCGTTATTAGTAATGGTGTTTTTCCACACCATCATCGTTATCAAGTAAATCCATATTGCAAAAATGATTCAACATATTTTCTTTTTATTGGCGATTTTAGGTGTACTACAACCTAGTAGCGAAGACTCTGCCGCATTGTCATCAGTATTTTTACTAAATTTGGCTACTTATTCATAACCGTAAATTTATTTTGTTCTGAAATATAAATAAATATTGCTAAATTATTAAATACTAGCTTTAGTTTATGAAATTACATGGGTGCTTAATTAAACAAATTGCCGCATTGTCATCAGTATTTTTACCTATTCGGTCTAAATTTAGCCACTTGATCATAACCGAAAATTAATTTTGTTCTGAAATATAAATAAATATTGCTAAAAAAATTATTAAATACTAGCTTTAGTTTATGAAATTACATGTGTGCTTAATTAAACAAATTGCTGCAGAACTATTATTAAAGTACTTTTGTCTGTACTTGTTGCACATAAACACATCCAATGGATTTCAGCATGGACCCCAGATCTTCTGGCCCCTCTCCCCTTCATCCCACATATCTCCCTTCATCCCCCTTAGTTTATCCCCAGGAGTGTCACTGTCACTGACTAAGGCCCCGTTCACATGTAGCGACATACCTTTTGCAGCGGCAGGGATAGCGCGACTTTCGGGGCGACGATCCAGCAACGGTAGCGCGACCTTCTCCGTCGGGTTCCATAGAAAAAAGCAAAATCGCGCAAAATCCGCCAAAAAAAGGGTCCGGTAGAAGCGACTTGCGACTGCGACGAGCGACATGGAGCTAAGACAGCTCCATTGACTTTCATTAGCCGGCGACTTCTCGCGATATCGAGCGGCAAAAATGCGCGATATTGCGGTGGAAATTCCGCGATAAGTTGCTACATGTGAACGGGGCCTACATGTGAACGGGGCCTAAGAGTGACCCATCTGACAGCCAGTGACAAGAATGTGATGGCTGTCAGCAGCTGCCTGAAAGTGACCCGTCAGACAGCCAGTGACAGGAGTGTCATTTATTGACAGCAATCACATCCCTGTCGCTGGATGCCTGACATTGACAAGGGTGTGATTACTGACAATCTGCCTGAGAGTGACAGTCATGGATGGC